CCCCCCCCCCCCCCCCCGAAAAAGTGATTTGTGTGATATGTTTCATCTTCTGTATCATTTTCCTGCAAAAATTCCTCGGTTTTTCTAGCTTAGTGTATTTGTCAGTGAATGCTGTACACTTTTTTCATGTCATTTTACTTGATCCTCAATTGGCTTGAAGATTGAACAACGTGAGGGAAATATTGGTGAATCTGTAATAATTATGGCGAAATGTTTTGTGCTTGTTCCCTGGATGCATGTTTTGGTCCAAAGCAGACAGAGAACAATGCTGCAGTTATATTTCTATGTGTGAATCACTAACGATACAGGGACCATCTGTGTTTGCCTTTCTGAAACTGCTCGACTGGTTCTGAACGATCTTTCATGTCAAGTCATTAATCATGAAACAAATAGTTCTGCTTCTATGACTGTGTAATTTAGCTGTAACACTGAACAGATCTGTAAGGTATTTTGTGATTGTTTAATTGAATTACACCCTTTTTATACTTTGTGATTGATTGTAATCATTTACTATAAACAGTAACATGCTTGTATTTTTTGTGTTCATTTCTGTAACTCACTTCATATGACACCATAAGACCAGGTTTTCTACAAAATTGTAAGAACATGTTATTTGGGGCCATTTTGTCCTGAAAGTTCAGTCAGAGTGGACCACAGCACTGTGATATGATAAACTTGTGTCTGTGAATACACATTCTCATCTGAGTACTGGATTGATTTCCTGCACCTGATTAGGGATCTCAAAGCACGTTGCTGTCAGATCCATTGTTTTTTTGGAGACAGTGGTATTGACAAAAAGACAGGAGAGGAGACAGAGCTAAAAGTGTCAGAGATGAAGATGCTAATGTTCTCATTGGGAGGAATGAGGATAGATAAGATTAGGGATGAGATCATCAGAGGTACAGCACAGGTTGAATGACATGACAGGACATGTCCACAGTAAGGACAGTCAGTATTATTGAAGGATGTCAGCGATGCAGCTGCCAGGAAAAAGAAAAAGAGGGGATATATAGATGTAGTTAGACAGAACATGGATATCGATGAAGTGAGAATAGAAGATGAAGAGGAAAGAGTGAGCGGCGACTCTTAAAAAGGGAAGAGCTGAAAGAAGAAAACTTTTGAAAGAAGGTAGCCCATTAAACAAGAATCTAGGCAAATTTATTAT